AGAGGTTACAAATTTATAGTGGTTAAAAGAAAGGACAGCTGGCTCGCCATATACTCAGAATAGAGCCATTAAATATAGTGCACAATCCTTACAAGAAGTTGCAAATCCTTCTAAGAAGAATCAATTGCACCACATATAAAAATACAATATTTTGACACAAACCTATGATCATAACAAAGGTAAGCTCACCTCAACAAGGGTGTTGCTACGCAACCTGGAAAAAATGAATTAACTCAGGGATACAGTCTCACTGCACTCCAAGCAGCCTACAACACCTAATCCTTCCTAAACTACAGTTGGAGAAGCATGCACTGTTAAGTTTTTTGGAAGCTTTTCGTGTGTCCGAAGAGTTAAGTCAACTCCTAATCTTTTTTGACTTTATTACAAAAACGATCAATAAGAGAGGTAAGGTGGCAGAATGGGCCATGCTAGATCAGTTGACAACTGGTTCAGCAGCTTAGGATAGGATAACATGTTCACAACACAGTTATACAGTTCTGAAACATCCAAATTAACAATCCCCAATATAAGATCTTAAAAATAAATAAAAAGGTTATCAGGTCCATGAATTTGTTTTTAATTTAAAAAATGCACACCAAAAACAAGTATGAGATAATGTGGATTAAACTGCTGGACTTCATACAAAAATGTAAGCCAGCACAGATTGAACCACTTGGAAGTTGGAACCCACGTCAAAAGGGGATATAGAAAAGAAAGAAATGGAAAGAGATTAAGAGAAAGCAATCCTATTTTTATATAAAAAATTGCAAAAAGATCTGCCGCACGACTGCTATCTTAAGATGCCCTAGTACAACTTCTATTGAAATGTGAAGTACCTGGTACTCAGCTCTTTCAGCAAGCAGATGTAGTACTTTAGTGATCACACGCGAGACAAGAAGAGTTAGACGCGGATCCAGTTGTACTCCTTCAATCTCCTCTTGTATTCGTGATACAATCCTCAGCATATGTTCTCTGGATGGAATAGTTCCACGGCTAGACATTGGAAAGACTGAATTAACGAGATCTGAGAGGCGACTGAGGCAGAGGGCTAAAAATGCTGTCTGAAAGGTTTCAATGGCAGATATCATCTGATCCTTTCCTTCCTGAGTGAGAGCTGGTGGAACTCCCTTGACATCTGTATCACGTGCAATTCTTTCAAGTAGATTTTCTATCATGGCAAAGAGCTTTGGATACCCAACAGTGAAGATCTCTTTCACAAAGCTTGATGCAGTAAAAATAGACTTCATTTGGCTGGCAAAAGACTTAACTAGTGCCTCCCAAATACAATCTGTTAACGTAGGATCCCCTTCCTAAGGAACAAGAACCAAAGTAAACATCCATGGAATGATGTAGGTAAAGGCTAAAGTTATGCAAAAAGTACCGAGAAAAGAATTTAAGATTCTACCTAGGCTACAACTGTTTATCCTCATTTTACGATGTGCAAGTGATAAGAATTTTTAGGCACACCTACAGTATGTTTCAGATAAATAACCATTTGCATCAATTCAAGCAAAAATATTAGAAACTACCAAGTGAAACAAATTCTCCAAGCTTAAGATCTATGACTGTTCCACTGGATATTAACATAATGCAAGATACTTTCATTTGGGAAAAAAAATCAAAACAGTCACTATACAAATCAGCATGCTTTAAGGACCCATAAATTGAGAAAAAGTAGTAGAAAACCACTGAAACCAAAGAAGGCCTCAGGCAGTTATAGATCACATTCTTCTTAAGTCTATCAGACTCTTTTTTTTTTTTTTTTAAGTGCACTACATTCGGTTACTACCTATGCAAGACAAGACAAAGCTAGGCCACGAAACATGAATGGCACAAGTATCAACTTAGAAACCCCCGCATTTCTTGTTTCTTATGACTGAAAATCAACAACCAAGCACAAATGAGAATAATGACAAAGCAACTATTTTATAATGGTTATCCTTTCTTTTCGCCTTTCCTTGTGCATCTGACCAGACGAAGATCTCCATCTCAACTTTACATAACGTGGCTTCTTAGCATGATATCTTCTTAAATTCTAAACCTAGTAACCTATTTTCCAGGGTGCCATTTCAAGCTATTATACAACTACATTCACATCCTGTTTTGCATATTGATATATGAGGCATCTTCCCAACATTAAACATTATTTAAACTTATTATTCAGTCATAATCTGTCACCTATCTCTGATTCAACTTTCTACTGGTTAGCCTAGATATCCTCAATAGTAAGCAGAAGCAACAAATTGATGAATACCAGGTACTGGCCAATCTCATGTTTCACATCCCTAAGTCAAATGCCACTTCTGTTCACCCCCTTCCTCCAAGAACTCGTTTTCATTGGTCCCTTCATCGTGAATTTATGGACTATACATGTACTATTTTGCATATTAGATTCCCATTACTGCAACCTTGCTAAAACCATTACTCATAAATCTTAAGAGTTCACACTACCAATTAAGTTGAACAGCTAGAATACTATGCATGTAAAGCTCAACAAACAACATAATGTCCATAAACAATTTAATATGTAGGACAGGCAGCAATTATCTAACTTTAACAATTGAAGAGGACAACATAACTGGTACAAATGAATCCTTGAAAAGAACATTATCCACAATTGACTACCTGCAAGACCTCATCAAGGAGTAAAACATGCGTAAAAGGGTCCCTTTTCTTCGACAAAACTCTCTGCAAATGCCAAACAGCAACGACAATAGAATGCAACTGATCCATACAAACATTCATCCTCTGCCAAAGAGCCTCCTTTGCTTTAGCTCCACCGCCAATCTGAGGTGTTCCACTCCTCTGCACCCCTCCCGGCCCTGCAAATCCACCACCTCCACTGCCGCCACCTGATATTGCCTTCATATCTAATGCCACATTCACACTCTTAGTTCCCATTGCCTTATACTTGCTCACCAATCCATCCACAGTCCCTCTCAACTCTCCCATATTATAAAACACCTGCAAACCTGCCCCCACCTCCGCCTGATTTAACCCTTCAAGCCCTCTTTCGAGCACTCTCATTCCCTCAGCTCGCAATTTCTGCCCAATTTCGGAGACCCATTTCAGCTCAGAGTCCGCAACATCGATCCCAGACAAATGGGATTCATTATACATACTTAATATCTCAAAATGCAGCTGGGCCGCCTTCGAAAGATCGAGCTTTTCAGGATCCGGGGCCGAATCAAATAAATCCCGGAGCTTTTTCGATAGCCTGAGAGTTCTAATTGTAGATTGGAGCAGCTCAGCAGTTGAATGAATGTTGGAAAGTTGAAGGGTTTTTGTCGAAATTAGCCGGTGGGGTTCGGATAACTCGGACCGAATTTTCTTGACGGAGGATTGGAGAGAGGAGACAGACGACCGGAGAGAAGACAGAGCGGAATCAGCGGCTTTAATTGAGGAGAGCTGTTGGAGGAGGTCTTGGTGGCGGGAGAGGACATCATGGCGGAGCTGAGAGTCGAGGAGGCGGAGGCCTTCTTGGAGCTTTTCAATGCGGGAGGCGGCAGAGCCGGAGGAGAGGGCGGCGGAGGAGAAGCGGGTGGAATCAAAATCTGAGGAGAGGAAGGAGGAGAAAATGGGGTCAGAGGAGAAGGAGTCGAGAGCGGAAGGGGCAGGGGACAGTGGGGTTGGGGTGGTGCTGTGCGGTGTTGGGGTGGCGGTGGTAGCGGTGGTGGTGACTGGTGGAGGGGTGTCTTTGAAAGTGGAGAGCCGTTGAAGTGGGGATCTTTGGATGGCCGGAGAGGCCATGCCTGATCTGGGATTTCAAAGCCAAAAGGGAGCAATTTGAGCGGTGGAACTTGGTGGTGGACCGGATGGTGGTGATGGCGGTGGTGGTCCGGGAAGTTTATAGTACTAGTAAGAGGAGTCCATCTCCATTATGTAAAGTTTTGTCATTTATTTATTTATTTTTTCTGAGGAAGAAGAGTTTTATTTTCTTGAAGGAGGAAAATGGGTTTTATTGACTATTATTTATAATTACTAGTAATTAACTAATTACCAATAATTACTTGTGTGTTCAAGAAGGGTTTAGGTAATGAGTAGTGGTTAAGTCCCGAGTGTCAGTAGTATTTTCTTTTGAGACGTTAAAGCTAAATTGGCAGTCTCACTAAATTACCAAATGTTAAGTATGTAAACTATGCATAAATAAATGTGCATTATCCCAAATCCCAATATTACACATCCTAATATAATATATAGTTACAATAAAGAAGAATAAGTGCTCTTATTTTGTGGTGGATTTTGTACTAACATTTGAAAACAAAGAAAAAGCAAAAAAAAAAAGAAAAAAGAAAAGGGGGTTTAGACTCATTCTTGATTCATACAAGGATTTAGACTCATTCTTGATTCATACTCCTGCTTGCTTTCTCTTATAATATATATAATGTATTGTCTGAAGCCTTCCTCGTTAGTTTGGCATGATAGTGGTGAGAAAGAATGAAGCACGCCTTTATTCCTCTTGTCACGGGCTGCTTGTTTTCTTACAAGCCAACACCTCGTGGTCGCGCGCGGCTGTGTGCGATCCGTTTCACTTTGGTGGCAAAAAACTTGGTCTGGTCTCAGACTAGCAAACAATGAGCACCAATTAACTAGCACTTTAGGAGTGATCATACTAGTTTTAATTGATTCTGATAATAACAAACCGACCATGTTAACCAGTAGATTATTACACTAATGTGTTGCAGCAATGTATCAGCGCCTTGATTCAAGCAAAGATGGCAAAATGAATCCGAATTGTATTTGTGGTTTTCCTTTTTCTCCAAGGCATACAACACCAATAATCTTATCAGGGTTGATTTGAGGAATAAGGATCAACGCAACGCAAATGACAGGATCTACGTTGATATAACAAGTAAAAAAGGTCTATGCATGGATGGATGTCTGCATGCGTTTAAACGTTTCTTCTAATGTTATGACCAGGGATGCTATGAGGTACGAACAGGGGGCAAAAGTTGTAGTATAAACCTTGGAACGACAAGCAGATATGTAGAATGTTTTCAAGTCTGAATTTTCTCTAAAGAGTTTGGATATGGGATACCATGGAAAGTGGAAAGTAGTATATTCTCGGATACATCAGCTTAGGAATAGCTTACCAGATATGCAGGTAAAATTCTCTGTTCAGAAGTAATAACAGCTTTTGGCTACTGCATGGACGATGTATATCTCATCCGAAAGAATATGACAGTGCCTACTCTCAACCAGAGATCTTAATGAAATTTGAGAATGTTTCATTCATCTTCTGTAGTTATGGAGTACAGGATCTTCTAATCCATAAGCTTGATATGAAAAAGTGGGACAAGAATTCGAAACGATAGCAAGCGAAACATAGTAAGTAGTATTCAAGTGGATAATGCTCTGTCTTTCTTTCCTGCAAGAATCATTGAAATTTGAAGCCCCCTGCTAAATGCTTGGTTGAAGAGCAGCCGTGTTTGGAACTCTGATACGAAAGGGAACCAGGACAATACAGCAACCGGCGCGAATAAAACGAGGCCCATAATGCATTCATATGCTCTAGCCAGCTCCATCACTGATTCCCAAAAGCCTATTCCTTTTAAACAGGGCCTGATTGCTTGAGCGATCTTAAAGGAGAACCCAAGGCGTTAGATCACAACGAATGACGTGACAGCATGTTCAATAGGTAAAAACTGACCGAATTCATAAATTGAAAGGTTGCGAGCAAATATTGTCTAATACTTGTGTTGTGTTCCTGGAATATCACTAACTATGCAGGTCATGTTTGATAGCTACAAGAAACCAACCTTATACTTGTATTTCTACAGAATTTTCTGCAAAAGTACCTAAAAGCAAAAAAGAACTGAACTTACTAGAAGGATGGCCCAGCCTGTAGGCGTGAAGGCAAGAATAGCAGCAAATAGGTCTCTTATGGAGAGGCCACAGACGACAAATAAGACGGTCATAACTGATACAAATCCAAGGAACAATAGAGCTTTCAAGATCCTGAACATGAGCTGAAAGTCTGTGCCAAATTTTCGTCTGCCCACCGATACCATCTGCTCAAAGAAGATTACGCAAAAAGAAACTAAGAGCTGCCCAAATGACTAATAGATAAAACGAACAATAAGTTTCAAGCAACCTTAGAAAGTGCATGCTCCTCGTCCATAAAGGCTAAGGTGATAGCACTCAGGATTATACATGCATTTTTGTGGTTGCGTACATATGGACAGTTAAAATGTGATCCAAAAAGATAAAGAAAGTTTTATGTCAAAAAGGGACAGTATAATAAGGAGAAATGATGCCATGGGATTGTGTGAAATGGCAAGGTCTGACTGTCAATAAGCCTTAACTTATCAGACAGTATTAAAAGTATCTGTAGACATAATTAGATTCATCTATTTAGCAAAGCTGTAAAAATTGATGCGAACCTTTAAAGCAAGGAGTACAGTTGCCATGACAAACCAAGACAGTCCATAAACCTGTAAACATCATTTTCAGAAAATTGTAAGGTGGTGTGACATATAGAGTACAGAGGTGAGATAAAAAAAAAAAAGCAGAGAATTTTTACCAGAAAGCTTGTGCTTCCATGAGATATATCAAGGTGATAAACAATTCCATATTGGTATATGAAAAAGCGAAGTGCAAGGATTATTTCAATCACTCTGCCCCTTATATTTGTGGATTTTAAGGGCTCCTGTTCTCCATCCCACCATGCTTCCCAACTTTTATCTGGTGATATTGCAATGCCACCACGATTTCCCATCCACCTTTTCCAGTCTGTCCAATCATCCACAGTTTTCACCCAATCGAATCCAGATGGATTGAACACAAAAGGGGCAAACAACCAGGAACCAACAACGAACCACATTGAAAATGTAACAAACAAATATAGAGTTGAATTGCGATATGATTTCCCATAGACCTCATAAACAATCAGTAATATCAACAATTCTAGGCCTTTCACAAAGTGACTGCGAGAATACATTCTGTAGTTTTCAGCAAACTTTGCATGAAAAACTACAAAACCTCGACCAGTAGCCCGGTACTTAGAACCTCCATGCAAAATTGTTCTACCAAAATAATGTGCTTTTGTTCCAAGATGAAATGTGAAGAACACTGACGAGAGTTGAAGCTGCATGATTATAAAATCACCCAGGGCATTACGAAATCCTCGTTCCAGGCCAATTTCCATAACCATGGGCAGCACTAGTAACAAACCAAGCTGAAACACAGACTGTGTAGCCAAAGCCTCTTCCAGTCCTTTGCTCTGGCGAACAGTTGGATCTTCCAAAATACGTCTTTCCAACCCACTAAGCACCATGTATAAACGCCCATATAGAAATATGTATACAGTGAGCACAGTTACCTGGAAAACAGATAAACTTTTAATCAAAGATCTACTCACAACCTAAGTATTCAGCATGAAGAAAACTATAAAGTAAAATGTAGAACAAAAAATTCTTAAAATGAGCAAGTTCAAGAAGTAAAGGATCAAGCTTAATTTGTAAAGCAATGAAAAAGCTTAGTAAGACTAGTTGATTGAAGAAAAAAATAAAGTTTTCAAGAAACAAAAGCAGCAAATTGGAAGTAAACAACCATCATCATATGCTGATCTTGCCATTTAATGGAAGGACGCGTGAGGAAGAGGAATCATTGTAACATTTTTCACGGAGCAACTAGCTAAATATTGAGTCTTATTAATGCTCTTGTCAGATTAACTTTATGAGCTGAACAATGTGTGAAAAGCAATATTTGGTTGTTAATTTCTTGACTGATGCATAGAACACCTCACAGACTAAATTTGCAATCATCCAAATTGACGTAGAGGTCCTGCTGGACAAGCTTTTTCATAGTGATCTTTTCTTTATGGATTTTTTTTTTCTGTTTTGTTTCTTTATCAGTTGATATGCGACGTCCATATAAACACCGTACTTAATTCATATATGCCACACCCTAAAGGAAAGAAGCATAATTTACAGCAAATTAGCTCCTGAAATTACAACAGTTACTTTTCCAGATTTAAAAATTTTATATTGTCAGAATCTAAAGATTTACTGTATATTTTTAGATATTAAAGAAGAAAAGTAGTGCAATTGAGACAGCTATTACTTACCATGCTACTTAAGTAAAAGCCAACAGTAGTGAAGTAGAATGACAACATCCTAAAGAAGTCGAATCCACGTCCAAGCCGATAAACATCACGACTGAGCGTCTGTTCTCCATTTCCATTTGCAACCTTTGCCTCAAATTGAGATATCTGATTCATCCCCACATCACGCCCTTTCCCCACCTGAATGTATTCATGATGCGTTACATATCCCCCTCTCAGAGTTGAATTGTAACCTGAAGCAATCAACCCATTCAGTTGGCCAATAATGCTTATCATACGGTTAGTCTTAAAGAATAAAAACAACCTGCAAATATATCTTCGCTCAAGTTAATAATTTTTGATGCCTTGCTTATGCCACCCATACCAAAACAAAAAGGCTTTTACTTAGACCTTTGGTGGAATTTAGCAGTGAAGTACTGGAATTTAGCTGTTTAGTACCAACACCTAAATAGATCCGAGGCCGTATCTGTTCATAAAGTCCTCGGATCCGACATGGCTCGGATCAACTATAACAGAAGTTTATCCGAGGTCTCGGATCCAACAGGAACTTGTAGGATCCGAGCTCGGATCCCCGGTTTTAATTTTTGGCGTTTCATACAATCCGAGGTCGGATCCTTCTGGGTTTCATAGATGCGACCTCGGATCATACGCCCAAAAATTACAACAGTACATATTCATTATACAGAGGGCCGACGGGACGGAAGGGCAACCAAAAACCAGTAATCAACAACAACATAACTTAAACAAAAAAAGGGAAACAAGGATAAACAAACCTGGTATAATCTGAGCTGGGTAGCAGCTGAGAAATGCAGCGGCGGCGAAGAGTGTGGTGAAGCGGCGAAGATGAAACGAAAATAGACGGACAAAGGGACAACCAAAACCCAGCTGCGATGAATTGATGGGTACCAGCTGAGAAATGAGATTCGAAATTGAGCTGAAGCGGGAAACCGAAGCGTGTCTTGGAGGCTGAAGCGGGTTGAACTGATGCTTCAACAGGTGAAGCTTTGAGTTTAGACAATTGCGGTCAGAATCCAATTTTCGGTCAACAAAGCTTGAGTACTTCGCATTTCTTAAATGCGAGGAAACAAGCTCGCATTTTGTATATGCCAGCTCTTGAGCTCTCAACTGAAGAACCGTAGCTTGTTTTTCTTTTTTTTTAAAAGCACCTACCTCGCATTTGTGAAATGCGAGGTACTTGAACTCGCATTTCACAAATGCGAAGATCACATTTGTGAAAGCTGCTTCACTAATCACCCCCTTTGTAGTATAACTTTTGTTTTTCATCACAAATTAAGAATTTTCTCGACCACACTTGCAGCAGATAGGATTCTTGTTGTTGTTCTGAAAGAAGCATATGTGCTAAGGCGGACAGCGGAGAGAGCTCTTAGAGTTCTTCCTGCCTGCTGCTACTGTCAGATAGATACGCAAGGTATGAGTCTTGACAATTGGAGACAGAAAGGATGTGAGGATGGGTGGGGGAGTAAATAAATAAATAAAGACGTACATGTGCTAAACCAAAATGTATAAAGTTTAGTTTGAATTGAGAGAGCTAAGGATGATTTGAAATCCTCCCAAATGTGAGCGGGAGATGAAGGAAAAATTTTCTGAAGTGACTATTTTTTTTTCTTTTTTTTTTTTTTCAACACTAGAGGAAGGGGGACCTAAACAGATTAAGGAGAGTCCGATGAATCACCATCGATCCAAACTGGTATTTATGTACCCAATTTTTTTAGGAAATCCTGAATATTAGAATGTAGACCAAGGAAAGCAGAGCCTTAAAGCAGGCTCTTTTGGTTTCTGAAGTGACTTAACCGAATAATGGTTAACTGTTCTACTGTAAAACTCGTTAATATATGTATTTTTTTTCATTATTGTGGGTATCCGGGTCTACATCCGACTAATTTCACAGCGCTCCAGCAGAGCGGGCCCGACCGATGCTGAAGAAGATAACAACTGAATTGCTGCCCGGGATCAAATCCAGGTGAAACTCACCTAAGGAGGCTACTTTCACCAGCAGATCAACCCAGCGAGGCCGTTAATATATGTATTCAAAGAAGAAGAAAATGTGTGTACTCAATCTCACCGGTCCACAATAGCAAAGCTTACAGTTGTGGTTTAACATCAAAAATTCATAATTGGGCTCTACGTCAGAATACTGTGTTGAGGTCTAGCCCCATCGAATATCCAGCACAACCACAAACAATCACACGGCAGCTGCTGGCATGGCCCAAACCCCCTCCTCCCTTCATTTTTTTCAGATTCTTATTTATTTACAGAAATAAACAAATTAATCTTCTTTCATTAGCAAGTCAATATATATATATAAAATAAATTCTAAATCTTTTGCATGTATTAAGTCATTCCAATTCACATAAATAAACCGATTAATCTTTCTTATAATTGTGACTGTCAGTATACACAGAAGCAAGTCAGGATGTATGATGATATATTATATATGTGCAAAAATTGAGGCTTAATTTTAAATTAAATTTAATTTTTTTTTCTTTTTAAACACTGAAAATAATAACGAGTCAGCAGAATTGCTGAGGTCTCATTGCATATGGAGGTAAAAAAAAAAGCCACTGTTAGCATGAACTGTAAAGTTATAAACTTTTTGTTAGTTTTTTCCTTATTAGAATATAAAGACAGGAATGAGTGGTTTTGGAAATCACATGATTCAACTAAACCTCACATCATTACATCTGATTAGGTTGGTATACTGATAACATCACATCGATCACCCAATTAGCTATGTGAAAAAAAAAAAATCATTTTTGCACAGTGCAAAACAACATAGGTAGGATGGATGGATGGATGGAAGTGGGGGAAACGTGGTAGGTGCAGCAGAAGGAAAAGAAACTTAGCTGTTGAAAAAGGGGAAGAAAGATCCCACAATAGGTACACATAAAATTGACACTGATGAGAATAGTTGGGTAGCTACCAACCAACCGAGCTAGCTAAAAATCAAGGCCTACATTAATCTTCACCATTTTAAAATCCGGGTTCTGCAGTCTGCTTCGCTTCTCGAAATTGTAGAACAGAACAGAGCCTTAATCTCCACAGGCTACTAAAGGTAAGCTAAATGATTCTGATTATTTCAAGAAATGGTTTTTATTATGAATTGCGCAGAATCTAAGAGAATTAGTGTTCTTGAATTTATTTGCTGTTGTTGGATGATTAACTTTGAAGCTACAATGCCTTCTTTCTACTTTTCTTGTCCTTGTTTTGTTTGGGCTGCAGTATAAATTTGATCTGTTTCGGATAATATGTTTGATATTTTGTTTAAGTTTCTTCATGGTTTATGCTCCCTTTTTCCTAAATGTTTCCTTTTTGACTCTTTATTGCAATTGTAGCTCTTCTTGCTTTGAGAGGCTTAGCTGAGGGATAATTTAGATGGCTCAACAAGTAAACAGGCAAGATGAAGAGGTAGTTTATTTTTTTACTTCCCTCCATATTTAAGTCTGTAACGGAGAATTTTAATTAGCAATATGATTTTATCAATAATGATCAGGTCGTTCTTGCTGAAGAAATGAGCCACGTGAGATTGATTACCTTGAACAGGCCTCGCCAATTGAATGTGATTTCATCGAGGGTGGTAAGTTGGATGCTTCTTGATTGCTAGTAGCATGATTTCTGAATTGTTACGTTGCCTTTTCTACTCGAGGGTCATTCAAATTCTCTTGCTTTAGGTGTCTTTACTTGCTCAGTACTTGGAAAAGTGGGAAAAAGATGACAATGCAGAACTCATACTGATTAAGGCAAGTATTATCTTTCAAAATGTTGACTCTCTACAATCATAGTCTATTTAGCAAAATGTTGCCTCAAGGAGAATTTGATAAATTAAATATAGGACTGAAAGACTTCAAGTTAAGGAGTTTTGCTGAAAAGAAACTGTATAAAACTGCTTGTGTACACAGGGTGCTGGCCGTGCCTTTTCTGCTGGTGGGGATTTGAGAATGTTTTATGATGGCAGGACCTCGAGTAATCATTTTCTGCTGATACTGTAATGCTTGCAAGATTGTATTTTCACTTTCAAGTTAACTTATGCATCAGTATTTCTCTTTGTCAATTGTCAGGGGATTCGTGTCTTGAAGTGGTCTACAGGATGTATTGGCTTTGCTACCACATTCACACTTATAAGAAAACACAGGTTGCTTTAATTTCATGGAGCATTTGTTGGCAAGAAGTTATTGTTCTGGAAGAATTTGTGAAGCCCACATTTTGGCATTTCCAATCCTGCTTGTGGATATTTTTGGCAGGTTGCTCTTGTTCAAGGAATTTCCATGGGGGGAGGTGCATCTTTGATGGTCCCGTTGAAGTTTTCTGTAGTCACAGAAAAAGCTGTTAGTATCAAATGTGATTCATAGATACTTTCCTGATCATTTGGCTGTAGGAAGCTCTATTTCTTCTCTCTATTTCATTCTCCTTTCTTTCCATGATGAGTTTTGAGCATGTTTATTACAGGTTTTTGCCACTCCAGAAGCAAGTATTGGGTTTCACACTGATTGTGGGTTTTCGTACATGCTTTCACGTCTCCCTGGGCATCTAGGTAAGGTTCAACTAGACCAGATTTTCATTACACATTATGTATCCAATAGTTGAAGTGTTTTTCCTTCTGCATGTGTCGTAAGAACAATAAGGTCAACTTCAACTTTCTAAGTGGAACTTCATATGCAGGGGAATACTTGGCCCTAACAGGGGCAAGGCTGAGTGGTAAAGAGTTGGTTGCCGCTGGATTGGCTACGCATTTTGTCCCCTCCGAGGTACATTGCAAATTTTAAAGTTGTTTTAGGTACTTTAGTCCTGTGTCAGATTGAGTAGTTGAAGGAGCATGTTCCTGGGAAATCTTTTTTCTGATTGTAAAAGCAACAAGCTTCCTCATGACAACACACCTTTTAGTTCCTTGAGTGCTCCATAATAGTAATTTAAGGGCTCATATAGCGACTAAGCGGGGGGTTGATTAGGAAAATGGGATATATCCCCTCAGTTGTTTGGAGGGGGAGAGGTAAAAGAAGTTGAGGGAGAGAGGATCCATGGTCAGGAAGTCAAGGGAAAGAGGAACTGTTGTCAGTCCATCTTAGTGTCTTATCCAATACGTGACATTATTAATCCAAAAAAAAAGGAAGACACTATTAACTAAAGATTATTATTGTCTTAGACAATAGACATTCTTTGCTAAATACCAGATTGGCTCTATTGCTTATCAAATCCTTATCCATCATCTGTTAGAATCCCTCAAATGGATAAGACACATTGTTAGTTGCATCAGATTTGTCCAGTAAGTTAGAATATCAAATGTTGACTACGTTTAAGCCATGTTCTGCATCCAGAAACTGCCTGAACTGGAGAAACGCCTGGTGAGCTTAAATAATGGTGCAGAGACTGCTGTCAAATCTACCATTGAAGAATTTTCCTCTGATGTTCAGATTGATGAAGAAAGTGTCTTGAAGAAGTAAGTCATCTCAGTTTACTGCATTACTATTTCAGAAATGTTCACAGGATTAATCTTGTTTGGTTTACTTGCAGACAAAAAATGATAGATGATTGTTTTTCTAAGGATTCTGTGGAGGAGATCATAAAATCCCTTGTAAGAGATAATATTCATGATTCAAAAAAGTCTTGCGTGTTATAAAATTACAGGACCTAATGTGCATAGTCAATCTCAGGAAGCTGAGGCTACCAAAGAAGGAAATGGTTGGATTGTTCCAGTGCTTAAAGGATTAAAGAGATCATCTCCGACAGGATTAAAGATAACATTGAGATCGGTAATGGAATTCCCTAGAACCTCCTCTTTCAGCAGTTGATATTAATCTGAACTGGTGGATAGTTGTACAAATATATAACATACTTAGAAGTATCAAAAATTTGAACAGCAGTTTTTCTTGGTGAGAGTTTGAGTGATCCTTTCTCATTCTCTTTATACATCCATTTCTCTTCATGCTTGATTTCTTTCTCTTATCTGTTTTGATCTTTTTGTGTGTGCTTGATGTGGGATGGTCATTGCAGTGGGAGTTGCATCTCATTCTTCTCTTTGCATTTCCCTGCTTGCTAAATCAACTGTCTAAAAGTAAATTTCTTTTCAGTTTTTAATGTTTGTGAAAGATTGAAATTTTAACTCTAGTTATCCTACTGAGCGTATGTAATTTAGAAGTTAAGAAAACAGGTTTTGTTTCAGAGAATATAACGGAGTACATTTTTCACAAAAATGTGTTTGAATATTTGACATTTATATCCCCGTGTAGCAGTGATGGATTTTGTCTTTTTCAAAGTCATCTTTGAAGCTTGAATACACTTGTTGCAAAATAAAAACATGATTATTATCATGTCAGTGCGAGACTTCATATGGCTTGTGTAACTTTCAAAGTTCTTAGTTCAGTTCTTATAAGATTTCGTGGAATTCTCCATATTCAACACCAGAAATTGAACTCGTGAATAACGTTTTGCTGCTTGAGTTATAAGTTGTACAGCTTTGTCTGAAGCTTCTACTATTTGATAGTTTTCATATTGCAATTTCTCAACTTTGCTGTATCCTCTCTGCTCTAAAATCGGTACTAAACAATTTCTAGATCCGAGAAGGAAGGAAACAGTCACTGCCTGAATGCCTGAAAAAAGAGTTTCGTCTCACTATGAACATTCTTCGTACGGCAATATCCGGTGATGTTTATGAGGTAATATCTTGCTACTTCAGTTTTATAGTGCAACAACAGAAAGTGATGTGTTGCTTTCTACCTCTGAAGTCTACTCTCGTTTCTTCTAAAGGGTATCAGAGCTCTTACAATTGACAAGGATAACTCTCCAAAAGTATGTTCCCTCTCTCTCTCTCTCTCACACACACACACACACAAACATTCTTGAATGTTCCAATGCAACCATCTTTTATCCTTTTTCCCTCCCTCTGTGCCGTCTGTGTTACAAGAACTCTTGCTGTATCAAAATGAGAATGCTGACCAAGATATTGCTGCCATGCCTTCCTTAAATAACAGTGGGATCCTTCAACTTTTGATAGAGTGGGTGATGAGAGAGTCAATGTTGTATTCCAACCATTTGAAGAAGATTTGGAGCTCAAGATTCCAGAAAGAGAAGATTGCAGGTTTTGTTTTGCATGCCTTCGACCCTGAACAGCTAATAACTTGGTTCCGCTAGTTTCTGTTATTATTTTCATCGTTGCATTTTAATCTGATTCACAGGTGGGAAGGAAAATACGAGAATTCAGTTTATGCAGTTCCAAAGTGAGCGATGAACCAAAGTTTTTTTGGCTACCATCTGAAATAGCCTCTCGACCGTCCGAGCCACATAACATACTTTTCCCTGTTTCCACACATTTATGAGCGCTGGTATTTTGCCTTGCTCTTCCAGGGTTTCTAGCTCAAAAAATGTATTCGTTTAAACCACTGCAATAACATGAGACAAAAATTGCATTCTCTTACATAAATGAGCACCAGATTGTATCAGACACAAAACTCATCCTCTTCCATGACGGAGCACCAGATTTTATCAGTTTATAGGGTTGATTAGCAACAATATCAAGTCATTGAAAAGGCTTATTCCAACCTTTTTCTAGTGAGGTCAGCTGAGCCTTGAACCGGGTCTCAAGACAGTAGAAACGGATCCTCCCGGGACGTCGTAATGACTCGCATCTTTACAATTTCGTATAGAGAAGTGCTCTTCGTTGCATCTTTACGATTGCATATTAAATGCTATGGGAAAACGGGGGAGGATGAAGTAGCAATTTGAAAGTTTATACCACAGAGAGCGTTGGCATCATAAGCTGCTCATTTCTGATTAGCAGATGAAGTAAACGAATGAGTAGATTACAGAACGGATGAATAAATTGCAAAATAACAGAAGGCTTGCAATAACACGTATATAAATAACTAAAAGCCACACTGAGCGGTTGCAAGCCATATTATACCGTTCATGTTGTGTTTTGTTTACAAACTGATGTTAACATTACATTGGCAAAAACTATGCATCAAAGCGAGCTGCCCGCTGCCCACAGTGAAGCTAAACCAATTGGTTTGTACGTGTTCTTTCATAGACTGCAATAGCTTAAAAGAAGAAGATACAAGGGCAGTAATCAGGCTCTTTGACAGGGTGGTCACCAGAACAAGCAAGCAGCCTGTCACATGCTCGCTCTGGAAGCTTCATAACATTAACCATGATATCAACATATTAACAAACGCCATCACTCAGCTCCATACTTCCAAAATCAACGAAGAGGTGAAATGCCAGAGCCGAAAGAGCAAAACTAAGAAACCCCCTGGAAGGACAACCGATCTCGAAGGGTATCAAATATTGATGAAGCTGCTGCATTCTGCGAGAAGGTCAATTTCAATCGACCTAGTAATTCATTATCCTTAGCCTGAGATGCAGCATCAGCAGCTTCCTTTGCCATTCCAATTCGAGCATAAGCCTGCTCATGGATGTCAAAATTTTTTATTAATTGTTGAAAACGATGCATAATGGCAAAACAAAACAAATGCCTCCCCTTATGAGTATCTGTCTTTTCTTCTTTGTTTGAAATCATTTTTCAAACCAGCTACTAACATTAAACGGTGATTTGACTCTATAGTAAATGGTATACCATTTCCACATTTGATAGGGCAACTAAAAAAGAAAATAAAATGTATACTATAAGGAAAAACATATGTAATGGACACATCATGCAGTCACACTGAATATAAATCCCAGCCATGCTTACCTCAGCTCTCTCCCTAGGATCAGACAGCTTTGGTATGTATTTAAGAGCTTCACCTTTCTCATCAGCATCAATACATGCCTCCACAAATGGTCGATAGCCTACAAATGGAAGGAAATGGAGGGGATGAGGGAGTTCATCAAATTAAAGGAATATCATATGCCACCGCATATACTTCAAGACAAACAAAGTCAAAAAAGGTATTGTAAATGCTTCTGGACACACGTTTTCAGCTTACCAATGGGTGGTCTTTTCTCCTTTGAGAATTTCTCCAGAGCATCCCAATCCCTGATTGTTGCCAAAGCAAATACTTTAAGCCAATACCAACGCTTCTCCGAAACCTAAATCATTTTACACAAGTTTCATAATCACAATGTCCAGATTGAGAAAGTGCATGATAACTAACATGACAGTCCATGAGAAAGGAAGAGATGTATCATCCCAACATCTTCCTTCACGTGTAATCTTATCCAATTAATAGAAGGAAATGAAAATACAAACATTTTCAGACCTTAAATTCTGTTTTAACTTTCAGAGCAGCCCGATGATTTCCCAGTACAATACATGTTCGAATTGTATCACTGATGCTTGAATCCACAAAAATAGGCTGCTTTGTGGTGACCTCCAACTCTTGTTGCATCCTGCAGTTAATACACATCGAGCATTACCATCCAAAGAGCAGAAGAAATCAAAATATATTTTTCAAATCAAATGAAAAAATATACAGCTTTATGGTCCACAGGACAAGAGGACTTTGTTTGGTAGCCTCCTAGTACAAACTGTCATGTGTGTCTAACAGTAGCAAAAGAAGTTTTTATCTAAAGCTAATATGCTAATTGACGTATGCAATGCAAGCATCATCTCTGGTGTCACTCTCATAATAAAGCAACTAACAGCACAATGTGGCAATAACCTCAAACTTGAAGCTTCATATCGATTAACAAGAGCTTGGCAGAGGAAGTCAAAAAATGATCATATTCTAATGTGCTGGATGAAATGTCACCTCAACAACTTTGCATGCTCTTCAGCTGCCTTTGACTCAAAAACATGTTCCCTGGTTTCAGAGAAAAGTTTCTGCACATTCTCAATGAGCTTTATCCGAGGACCCTGAAGGGGAGATCCCCTGCTTGCCATTGGGTTCTTTGCCAATTCCCATGACTCTTTCCACATTAGAAAAGCCGCATCCTAGAAAAATGATATAACCTTGAACTGTTGTATCACCTTTGAAGGAAGGAATATAACCTCAATTACTGAGGCAACAAAACGCAGAAAACTATCATGTATACATCGACAACAAGCAGTAAAAGCTGGATGCTTCAACAATTTAAATCAATTTATATTGCACCCCAACAATGAAAAATCTCATGTAATTCGTGTTTTGATACAAAATTTCCCACACATCATAACAGCCTCCATGGAATTGCAGCTGCTAAGTTACTAAAATAGTTTCTCTCTCACTAAATATTGGAGATACAAACGAAATGTCAGCCAGTGGTTGACAAACAAAATTTTATTTATAATCCAACCATGAGTTCAAGCATCATTAAACAGGAAGAGTCACGATTGGTGACAGCTCTCAACTGAACCCAGTTGACATAACATACAACAACGCTATAGAATTATTTCTTACATTATAGGTAACATTTGCACAAAAATTATTTGCCTGCATCACAAACACGTTTTCCAAGACACCCTTTTATCTTCCCAACCACCTTTTCATCTCATATGCATCACATCACAAAAAGTGCTACAGTAATTATTCCAAATAAGACTTCAAATTCACTCCTATCCAAACACATTATTTTAATTCCGAAAAGAATGAAAACTAACCCTTGATAGTAAGCTAATCTAAACTAACCTGAATTTCTCCAGTCGATATGAAAAAATTCTTCAGGAATTCATGGTTATAGCACCTGAAGAACAAAAAGATGCCAGTATTACTACAACTTTGACACCATAGAAAAGAAAAGAATTTCATGTATTATGTCAACTATAAATTTGAAGCAGCAGAAAGAGGACAAAACAAAACTAAACCCACTGAACACACATACCTTGCATAGCATATGAATAAATCACGTGCCAGTGACCTGGCATGTATTGTTCTATGAAACTCCATAGTTGGTCCCTGGAACATTAGCAGTAAAGGGACAAACAAAATGTCATCACGTGATGGATATTCTTTGTTTGACAAGTTAGTACTCCTCAATAATAAAATAAACATTTATTGAGGGATAAAATACTACTCTTAAAGTAATCAAGCACCTTCTGCCAGATATGAAACAGGACAAGATAAACAAGATCAGTATCTCCACTTTCAGTTGCCTTGGCTAGAGCAGTAACTTCTTCTCCGATCCTAAGCAAGAGAGGAACCTAACCAAGCATCATGCAGAAGAAAAAGCACAGCAGTCATCTAGAAACCGCAAGGCACATTGAAGATACCAACATGGTAAAAAAAAAAAAAATAGCAAGCATACTTCACAAAAGAACTATACAAGGAAAATACAAAGGAACCTGCTTGGAGGAACAAGGTTCGTGTTCAACTAGCATGGCGGCTAATTTCCTGCGGCCACTCTTATCAGCATGGGCAGCAACTGCCGCATAAGATATACCTTTGCACAACTTCAACTGCAATTGCCAAACAATTGATTAAGCCACACATTATGAGCAGAAAAGATTGTAGAAATTACTAAATCTGAACAAAGACCTTATCGAGCAAGATTTGAAGGAGATCAGCATCGGGGATTGCCAATGAAGAAGTTATTTTGTTACACGCCCAATGCATGATGACGACTTCCTGCAGAAAATCCCAAAAGAGTAAGCAGGACAAAGCCTAGTATGGAATCATATGCTACGTGAAAAGAAAAATAACCCATATAAAGAATTAAAATAAAAGTGGATTTGGAGCAGTTGTAGTTTTATAATTTAGCACAAACAAATAGTTGAAGTAGACCATTCTATCTATCCTTTCTTGTTTGTGATCATTCTATCTAAAGCCATTTCTGCAAGCTTGCAAAAACTATTTTCATCACATAATCAAGATCAAATAATGAATATGAGAAGAAAGATTCAAAAAATGAAGTGTTGAGGGTAATAGGAAGGGTGAAAAGAAGAAGTCAACGTATCACACCAAGTACAACTTCACTATCTTAAACCCAACAAAACATCCGCCCTCAACACAAATCAGATCGGAAAACTTTGAGGCCAAACAGTGACAAAGTACTATTAACCTACAAAATGAATCATGACATTGAATGGGCTCTTAACAAAGAAAAGTTAGTGCACTGAAAATCCAATAAACCGCAGAAGAATATACCCTACAGGCTCCTATTAATTCCTGCACATGATGCAAATGAAAGAATGAAAAGATATCATTGAGTTCAAAAAATAAAAGAGAATAAACACACGATAGATTACTAACATGTGAAAAGAACAAAAAAATGGTATAGTTATATACTGTCGTCACATACAGAACACAGACTTGGCTTGGATGAAATAAGTTTACCAATAGATTCGCCCTTTTCAGCTTACAGGAAAAAGTCAAATGCAATATACTGATAACAGAAACAACATCATAACTTACTTGATTTATCCCTAAATATTCTGATATCCGCAAAGCTATAAGGTGCTGATGAGCATTAATCAGACGTCCAATCAGAACTGATGGTGTAAGCAACTGATAGGAGACAGAGAAAGACAACTTGATAGCCTTCAACAATTATAGAAAATAGTTAAAAATTCCAAAAAAAATTAACATGTGAAGCAAGAAGGACCTTATA